GGGTTGCCTGCTGCCAACCTGAACACTTCTCTGAAGAGGCGTTAAATATATTTATCTCCTTCTGGTGTTTCTTGACAGCTTTTTCTTGACCCCCCCCCCCATTTGCTGCAAAATCCTCACCTCCCACTCCTTTAGTTCCCATCAGAGTGCGTATTCTGCACTCTCTCCCAAGCTTCTAGGTACACAGCAAAGTTCTTATGTGCACTCCCTTCCCCTTTTCTAGGGAAAAAGAAGTTTTGACAGCTTCAAAACTCTGCTGTCGCTACATGCAGTCAAGTCATCTCTGACTATGAATGAATGCCCTCCAAACTGTCTTGTCCTTGACCACCCTGGTCAGATGTTGGGAACTCAAGACTCTACCTCACTTTATGAAATTCAATTCTTTCATATTCAGTCTCCCTCTTTTTCTCTGCCTCCTACTTTCCCTAGCAATATTGTCTTCTCCAGTCAGTCTTGCCCTCTCAAGATGTGCCCAAAGTATGAAAGCTTCAGTTTCATCAATTTTACTTCCAGGGAAAGTTTTGGCTTGATTTTATCTCTGTCCCACCTTTTAAAAAGACTTTTTTCCCAGTGCAAAAAGGGTGGCTTTCCACTGCAACATGTATCTATATGTCCTAATCCAACTCCCTGGTTGCCACTCAGCCTTACCTTAAGGAGCCAGAGTTTGGCATTTAGCTGTCAAACCCAAAAAACCTTACTGGTGTGGGGGGGAGAAGGCGGGGGGGTCTGACTGTAAAAAATTTTTAACTCCCCTCCAAATCTTTTTCTCAGCTAAAGATTTACCACATTTTTGCTTGCTAATAACTCAATTTTGACAGCCATCAAGAAAAACTTGGAACTTCTTGTGGACAATATTTAGGGCAGGTACCTGCTGCCCCCCGACAGCACTTCATCAAAAACTCTGGACTGCTACAGTTACCCAGCTGCAGATATTGAACAAACATAATATTAGGCAGTAATGAACTGGGCTCTTTAACATGTCATTGGGCCACTTTGAAGCTGGCTCGACATATGGCTTTTCTGATGTCCCCGCACTCCCCAAAAAAGTAGATTGTGGTTATAGCACAAAAGAAGAGAATTACTTGTTATTCCTGTGGTGTTCCATGGGATACCTCAAAAAGACCAGGGGCTGTCGTAGGAATCAATAAATCATAGTGAACTTAATTTCTGTTGGGAGTCACCATGGGTCGTTTGCATGACATCTAACCTACTGTGGCTTCTTTTCATGGAAGATTTCCAATAATGGGAGAACATGTCCACTAAGTAACCAAGCACACAAAAGCCTGAATAGCACAATAAGCCAATAAACTTGTATAAAAGTATAACCCAGTAAACATGGTTTACCTTAATTTCCAAATGGTTTTTTGACAAGACCACCCCCGCAAGATTTCTGAGTAAATTTAGAACTAATAGGATAATAGAGGTTCTCTTATAGATCAGCAACTAGTTAAAAAAGAGAAAGCATGGAATAGGAATAAATAGTCAACTCTTGCAATGAACAGATGTAAATAATGGGAACCCAGAAGAATCTCTACTGGACTGGTATTTTTACCTAGTTTATAACATCTGAAATTGAAAATCAGCAGTGAGTTGCCCAGATTTGCTGGTGACACCAAATTATTCAGTATCATTAAGACAAAAGTAATTATGAAGAGCTCCAAAAGAATCTCTCTGAACTGAAGGGATGGGCATTACAATATCAAATGTGATTTCATGTAAACAAGTATAAGCAATGCCCACAAAAAAATCCCTCTTTCAAATACATGCTCACTAGATCTCAGCAGGTTGCAACAAACCGAGAAAGAGATCTTGGAGTCATTAAGGGCTACTTGATGAAAATATTGACCCAGAGTTCAGTTTCTAGAAAAAGACAAATTTTAGGTTGGACATAATTTGAAAAGGAACTGAACTGCTAGTATCATACTGCCCTCATACAAATTTTATGGTGCGACCAGTTGGTATATCGGGTACTGTTTTGATTTCTGCATCCCAATTAAAACATTGTAGAGCTAGAAAAAGTACAGAAAATGGCAACCAAAAAGATCATGTAACTGGAACAACTCTCTTATAAACAACTGTGTAATTGTATAGTACATAATTAACTATAGAACTGTGTTGCAGCATCTGGAATTCATTTATCTTAGAAAAAATAAGTGAATACAGAAAGATATGAGAGAGGTGTATATGGAAGACATGAGACAAAATGATACATGTGGTGGAGAAAGGAGTTAAGAACAGCTTTGCTCCCTCTCTCATAAAAGTAGAATCAACAAACATCTAATGAAGCTCATTAGTATGCAATTCAGGACAGAAAAGCACAGCACACAGATAAATTAAGGAATTCACTAGCACAAGATGCCATGATAGGTGTCAACTTGGCTATCCATTAAAGGGAACTGAACATATTCATGGAGGATAACACTATCAATGACTAGTAGTCATGACTGCTAAGTATCATCTCCAATACCAAAGGCAGTATGAGTGATGGTAAGGGTGTACTATTACATTCATGCCTTGCTTGTGGGGGTTCTCAAGAGCAGCTGGACTAGTCACTCTGTGAACACAGAGCTAATTTACCTGGGTCTTTAGTCTGATCCAGCATGTCTGTTCCTATATTAGGATAATAAAACCTGATATTACTACAGTAAGGTTTTTGAATCTGAGTCTTCAAGCCAAGCTAGATCTGATAAAGCAGTATCAGACCGTGGACATATAAAATATGAGGGGCGATATGTCATGTTAATATTGTATGGAATGGTGCATGCCCCCTACACAAACACTCCTAGAGTATATTGTCCTAGGCACTTCTTTCCTAGGCACTGATCCCATTTCTGGATCTGAAGCAAGGTTACCATATGTGCCAGGTCTCTTCACCTGCAATCTTTTTGATGTTACAATTAAGGGTTGAAACAGCTCACCCCCACCAATTCATACATGAATGAAGGAGACATATGAACTGATGTGCTTTTGCCACTGTATACAATATACCCTATGCAAACATACAACCTAGCTGCTTTTCTCGCCATTCTATCTCTGCTACTCACAGAGACAGAATGCAACCATTTTTATGACAGGTACAATTTCTATCCCAAGCTATCCCTGGAGGCCCAGGTGGAGTCGGTTTCTAGGAATGCTTTTTATCAGCTTTGGCTGATTTATCAGCTGCATCTGTACATGGACTAGTCGAGCATTCCTACAGTCATCCGTGCGCTGGTAATCTTTCACATGAATTACGAGAGCCAGTGTGGTGTAGTGGTTAAGAGCATGGGACTGGGATTCAGACAATCTGGGTTCTAGTCCCCGCTCAGTCATGGAGCCAACTGGGTACTTTGGGCCAGTCACAGACTCTCAGCCCAACCTACCTCACAGGGTTGTTGTTGTGGGGATAAGATGGAGGAGGAGGAGATGATGTAAGCTGCCTTTTTCCTACAAAGGGCTCAAGGCAGCTT